CTTTTGATAGTACGAGATGTGTTTCGATCGTTTGATCGAAATTGCGCCGCCACTCTATCCCAGAACCTTGTATCCCTTTGATTGACACCCACAGCTCCATCTTCCGATATCATCACCCAAGAACTGCACAAGTTCTTATCTTCCTCCGCTGTCCAATTCCCTTTTCTCTTGCTTGTCATTGTTTGGTTTTTAGAGAGACAAAGATGATAGAAAGAATGAGGGGACTAACAGAAAATTTCAATAAGAATGAATGTTAGAGAGAGGGGAGGATGTCTGAATATATAGAGAATTTATGACCGTTAGGTTATGACCGTTCGGATATAAACGTTGGTAGGTAAGGCTATTAGGCATCACATGTTCGAATATGACCGTTAGGTAAAGTTGGTAGGTAGCACATGTTCGAATATGACCGTTATGTAAGGTTGGTAGGTAGCACATGTTCAGATATGACCGTTAGGTAAGGTTGGTAGGTAGCACATGTTCGAATATGACCGTTAGGTAAGGTTGGTAGGTAGAACATGTTCGAATATAAATGCAAATCCCCCATTTACCATCAATTGTATACTTGTCTGAAACTTCCTCCCATTTCTAAAACAAACACATTCATCATGAGTTCCTCAGATTACTCATCTTCTGGAGGAGAACAAGAGATAGAAGAGTTGAATCTGTTTAACTATCATCGTTTGACTTTAATCGGGCGGAGGCTTGAGGAAGGTTCACGCTCACGTCGCCGTTCAACAAATCGCACCTACATTGATCGTGAAAGGGTCTCAGGTCATGACCGTCTTATGCATGATTACTTCAATCCAAATCCAACATACGATGCCCGCATATTCAGAAGGCGTTTTCGTATGCAACCACGACTATTCAATCGCATAATGGGTGACGTTGTGAGGTATGATCCCTCTTTTGCACGAAGGAGTGATGCCGTTGGTCACCTAGGCCTATCGCCGGAGCAAAAGCTTACTAGTGCACTGCGCATGCTAGCTTATGGATCTCCAGCTGATCAACTTGATGACTACATGCGTATGGGTAAGAGCACTGTGCTTGAAGTCTTCAGGAAGTTTTGCAGAGCCATTGTCGGGATGTACTCATCGACATATCTTCGTGCACCAACTCCTGCTGATCTAAGGATTCTACTTCATAAAGCCTCACAACGCGGATTCCCTGGTATGATTGGATCAATTGATTGCATGCACTGGGAGTGGAGGAACTGTCCTACTTCTTGGACTGGGCAGTACCTGGGGCACAACCGTAAACCAACAATCATTCTCGAGGCAGTGGCTTCGTACAACACCTGGATATGGCATGCTTTCTTCGGCCCTCCTGGGTCGAATAACGACATCAATGTTCTGGGGATGTCTCCAGTGTTTGACGGTGTCCTCAACGGATCCACCCCACGAGTACGATTTGAGGTAAACGGTCATACATATGATCAATGTTATTATTTGGCTGATGGTATTTATCCTTCGTGGTCAACTTTAGTGAAAACATTCAGCAATCCAAGCTCAAACAAAGAAGCCTTGTTTGCTCGATGTCAAGAAGCACATCGAAAAGACGTAGAGCGGGCCTTTGGAATTCTTCAAGCTAGATGGGCAATCGTTCGTGGCCCTGCAAGATCTTGGGATGTTGCAACAATTAATGATATAATGTTGACATGCATTATATTGCACAACATGATAATCGAGGATGAGCAGGTTGATTCTGACGATGAGATGGAAGATAATCTTGATTATGAGGTCCACGACCAACAACCAACTAATGTCGATAGAGATATTCCAACCCTAACTGAGTACTTAGCTAGGAATAATAGGCTTCGTGCTGCACCAACACATCATGGGCTTCGTCGGGACTTGGTCGAACATATTTGGAACTTGCATGGAAATAATTAGGCATTGTTGTTGCTTGGTATCGATGCTGTGATGCTTTGTAATTCAATTAAAGTTGTAGTTGGTGACAATTTATTTTGTAATTTACAAACACATTTTCATTTCCATAATATAATTTCCATTTTTAGTTCGATCTAATTTTTGTTTACACACAACTTAAAGATGATAAACATAAATTTTAAATAAAATGAATTCAATTTAAGTCATCTTAGAAAAAAAAGCCTAAATACAAAAATATTAAACACAAATTAAATACAATCTAAAAAGCCTAAATACAAACATAAATTTAATTCCCCTTCCCCTAATTAATTCAATTTAATTCCCCTTCCCCTTCCCCTAATTAATTACAACTCCTTTAATAATTACTCTAATTAACTCGGCAATAATTAATTACAATTCCCTAAATCAGATTCCCTAATTAACTACAACTCCTAATGGCCTTAAACACGTCAACAATTAAAAAAAAAAAAAAAAACGTGCTGGGCGGCACAGCCGCCGGGGCTGGGCGGTGCGCCGCACGCGCAAGGGAGAGACTCTCTCCCTTGCGCGTGCGGCGCACCGCCCAGCCCCGGCGGCTGTGCCGCCCTCGGCCTCCATAAATGCCGAAATCGGCAAACGCTCCCCCATATATAGCGATCCAATTGCCGATCGCCTCCATAATTGCCGATTTTCGGCATTTATTTCTCTGCGTTAGAACTCCCCGATCGCCATTAATGCCGACAACCCCATAAATGCAGGCTGCATTGGACTCAGCCTAAGGAAACAAGGTTTGTTTCCATTATATGAACAAACAAAAAGAGAACTAGAAGAAAAGAACAGAGACGAAGAGAAGGTTTTGGCTGGAGTGAGCAGTGGAACAGACAGTACAAAGATGGGAAGAGAATTGAGTTTCATTAGAGAGCCAAAAAAGTGGCGGGCCTAAGCAAAATTTTGGAGCCAAAAAGGGTTAGCTCTTCTACAAAATAATTGGGAGTGGGGCGGGATTATTTGGCTGTTGGAGGGTTTTTGGAGCCAAAGCAAATATTTGGAGCCAAAGCAATTCTTTTTGGAGCCAAACCAAAATTTTGAGCTAAAGTAAATTCTCCCTCCAGGTTTTTGGAGCCAAAGCAAATATTTGGAGCCAAAGCAATTCTTTTTGGAGCCAAACCAAAATTTTGAGTTAAAAGAAAATCTCCCTCCAGGCCTCCACAAATTTGAGCAATTCTTTGTGGAGCCAAATTTTTGAGCTAAAGGAAATTCTTCCTCCAAACATTTGGAAGGATTTTTTTTAATGATAAATTGTCACATTGTTCACGGTAATTAACCGTGATTAACAATTAATCACGGAAAATCAGATCTAAAAAACAGGTAAATTAGTTATCGTGATTAGAACTATACAATCAAATACGAAACTTTTTACCGTGACTGTTAGTATACTTTTGATTACAGGAAACATTACCGTGAATAATTTCCCGTGACTAGAAACCAGTTTTTCTGTAGTGAACGGAAGGTTTCCATACTGTTACTATTTATTTAAAAAGTATATGTCAATTAGAATTAAAAAACACTTTAGTTTAAATGAATGTTGGTGATATTAGAACATGAAATAAGCTTTTCAATAATCGTTAACCTTTGGGATACGAATATAGTATTATATTGAATAATTTTTTTCAAATTTTTGGACACACATTACAAAATCTATAATAATGAAATCAAGTAATGATGATCATCTGATCTTGATTATACCAAATCAAATGATACTTAACACATAGTTTTTTCTTGAAAAAGATACTTAACATACAGTTAGGTGGTAAGTCATTGTGTGTGCGTAAATTTCTATATGTAATGACCTTTAAACTTGGACAACGAACATACCATAATTGATTTGGCCAGAACAGAGCATACTAATGAAGCATAACATGAAGTTCTTACATGAGGTCGTGTGAATAGTGGTCAGGCTAATTTAGCTACTTTAATTCATTAGTAGTGTTTTTTTTTTTTATTTGGATAGTGGTTGGTTAGGGGTAATCGGAAGTTACTGGGCATATTAAATCTCATTAAGGGATGAAAATACTTAGTTATTCCATGTAACCATGTCCACTTGCATATTAGTTTTATCCCTATTTAATGAGTAGCGAATTAAGTTAATTAGTAAGTAATCATTACCTAGAAAGTCAGTAACCAACACCCAAGGATTGTCATATCTAAACTATTGACCAAGCTAGGGGTTGAAATTTGGTTTAACTGTTTGAGATCCGTCAAATACCATACAAAATTTATCATTATTTGGTATTTTCGATTACTGAGTTAATTTTTTTGGTTTGTGATTGACATTGATTTTTAAGTAGTATTCAATATTCTAAATATGCAATTGGAATTGATATATACCAAGATATCGAGCATTCCCAAAAAATTTAACATGATACAATAAACCTTCCCTTAACTCACTGAGCCTCAAAGTCCTCTCAAATAAATAAAGTACATGGTTCATCCTTAATAACCAAATGCATAATTAACTATATGATTGTAAGAGAGAGCTAAGGAGGAGGAATGAACGGGGAGGGATGAGGACTCTTTTGGTGGCCGGCGGCACAGATAAGCAATCGGCGGAGCGAGTGAGAGAGAGCTAAGGAGGAGGAAAATAAATTTTGTGCGACCGCCGAGTCTAAGTTGAAGAAAGAGAAAAAGTTTAGGAATTTACATTAGGGTTAAAGGGGCGTAAGGTTGTGAGAAATGATAATTATGGGTGTGGGCGGGTATTCATGTATCACGTATATCTAAACCCAAACTTAACTCACTAAACAATGTAATGGATTTAAATCCGAATCCGGCCCCGGCTCACAATCTGTCAAAACGAATTTTACCCACTTTGATCAGGTTGAGTGGAGTTGGATATCCGTGAATCGGGTTATTTTGCCATCCCTATTTGTGGGTCGCCTTTATTTGGGCATCGGATTTGCGCGGTTGATATGATGCATCATATAGACAGAAACACGAAGAATTAGATGCCAACCTCATCTCCACAGAATAAATAATCTCATCTTTTTTGGCTCTATAAATATGCCGTTTCTTAAATTGCTATAAACCGAACAAACACAAACCAAACCAAACATATATAGAAAACACAGAGAAATGGACAGAAGCTCCCACGAATACCACGACCATATCTCCAACATCATAAAGGCTCCCAGCGTTATTCATGGCGCCCCTCAGTACCCAAACGTCCACAAGGCCTTCAACCACGACCACAGAGTCTACTTCCAGAGTCGGCTGCAGCAAGCCAAGCCCAGGCCCAAGAAGCGGGTCCAGTTGACGGATCTCGCTGGTCGTGCGATTGTGGAGTACGAGGTGGACGTTGATGAGAGTTTTGACTCGGAAGCTGATGGGTTCGTCCAGCAGAAGCAGAAGAACTTCGAGCTCTGCAAATGGAAGACTTTCAGGATGTACTGATGTACTGAAAAACAATATATATCATGCTTGAAAGTTGCAGCTGCTACCTACAGAAAGAGATCGATTGTCATTAGTACTTTAATTATCATTACTATTGTCGTTTTTTGTTGTTAAGAAGACATGTTGGTGGTAGCTGGTTCTCCTAATGTTGTTCGAGATGTTGGTGAAGTATAAATTCTGGACTTTTGTATTTATACATCAAATGAGCATATTGGTTGCCTCTCTGGAGCTATGAAATACGATTAACCCTAAATCTATGATTCCTATCTAACACGACTATGTTGGATAGTTAAAAGCTAGATGATCTCCGGGGAAAAAGAAAAAAAAAAGAAATTTTCAATTTTGTTTCCTGTAAACTTTATTCAGGGGAAAAAAAAAAGTTATATGCTTGTGCTGGGAGCAGGTTTGGTACAAAACTGAAATCTATAATTAGGAAAGCAGTTTGATATTGGTCACTATATTTTTTAGCATATTGTAACACATTTTTCGATAAGATATTGTCTGCTTGGAACCTCAACTCTTAAGATTTTTATGGTGGAGTGCAATTCAAAGTGACTTCTTATAAGGTCATATGATCATATCCATCTTTGAAGTACTTCCCAGTGAGCACGTTTAACTTCGAAGTTCTTACAAGAACTCCTTCACTCAACTCCACACGAGTCTTATTAGTTAGACCGGTTTCCTACTTATTAACCATAAATCTCTCTCATGCTTTGTCCTTGTTGGTAGGAAGAATGCTTATAATGGAGGAGCAGTTCACTTGAATAAACCTTGTGGTCAATAACGAGAACGAATCTAATGCATAACCTTGTGGTGCATAATCCAATCTCAATCCCCCACATCAGCGTCCCTTCTCTCTCTTGGAAAGCCTTTAATTTTCTCTCATTAATCTTTAACGGACGATTTCTCACTCGTTTTAAGTCAAAATTTAATTTTTTGCACAATTAGATCAGATTAATTGTGTTCTTCAAAATGATATTCACTCTGATATATTTTTTGAACAAAAAAATTGAGCCATTTTTTACCAGTCTATACCACATGGTATTGACTGGTATTAAATAAGAGCATACAATATATTATGAAATATATCAGCCCATACCAGGGAGGTATAGTACGGTATGGAGTTGGTAACGAGACGTATAAAAATAATTTCACCCTAAATGTTTTGGATCCAATAAATCATGATTAATTGTTTCTTCTATGCAAAAATTTTCGAAAATTACTTAAAAACGAAGGAGATACCATATGGTAATGGTATGGAGTTGGTAACGAGAGGTATGAGAATGTTTTTCTAAAAAAATATTGAAAATAGATCTCATTTTGTAGAGCACAACGAACTCGTTCCATCTGTGCAAAAAAAAAATTAAAATCTGAGTTAGAATGAAGAAGATATGGTCCGATTAAAAAAAATCAGGGAAATAAAATATCTTTAATTCACAACCCTTAGATTTATAGTCACTTAAATGAAGGGTCTAGATTTGGTTACTCATGTTAAGCACTCTAAAATTATGCAAAAATAAATAACATGCAACATCACTTTCGTTTTAAGTCATAATCTAATTTTTTTTGCAGAAACAAATTAGAAAAATTGCGCTCATCAAAATAATATTCAGTTTGATATATTTTTGGAACAAAAAAAAATTGAGACATTGAGTGCAAGTCTATACTATGGTGGTAATGTTTGGTACTAGATAAAATCATACAACTTAATGCTAAAGTGTACCATGTTGGTTCGAACATACCAGAATGTATATGGTTGAATACATGATAGTAGGAATATACGAATTGTCATTTATCAAATTCATTATTGTGTACCCCTAGTTACCACCTTTTATCAGGGTGGTATGAAGTGGTACATTTGGTCCTGTATGTTTTTTCCAGAAATGTGTAGATCGAACTCGTTTTATCTGTGCAAAAACTTTCAAAATTTGACTTAAAAATGATGGTGGTACAAGGTGGTAACGAGTGATATGAATTTTTTTTGTCGAAATATATTGAAAATGAATCTCATTTTGTAGATCACAACGAACTCATTCTATTTGTGAATTTTTTTAAATCAAAGTTAGAACGAGGAAGATAAGAGTCAATTAAGAAAACTAGACAAAAATAAAAATTTAATTAATTTTGATCTCTTAGACATAGACTTTTCTGACTCTACTCAAATTTAAGGGTCCAGATCTAATTATGAAAGAGTGCATAGCTGACACGCTAAAACACAACATCAAACTGCGACCAAGTGTAATCGCAGTCCGGAAATGCAGTAACAGGCAAGCTCTAATTGTAAACCCGGGGTCTAGATCTACTGCCTATTCCGTGTATATCTGTTATCTAGCAAACTAAGTCGAGTGATTTGTGTTTTTAAGTAAAAGCAGTAAGAAAGCAGGAAATGGTTCGGTTTTCTAAAGCAAAGGAAGAGTCACTCGGGAATGAGGCCCCCTAGCTCCTTAGTTAGGTCTCAGTTGTAATTACCCTGGGTTGATTTACTGTTGATTAAACTGCGGAAGATCTGACAGTAGTTTGGAATCTCTTAAGCTGACCAAGCCCTCTCAGGCAGGCTAACCGGCAGGCGACTAACCTTCACCGGGATAGACTGCTGAGGCAATAAGCACAGAACTCCACTACTGGAATTGGGTTCCGGTACAAAGCAGTAGATTGACTAACTCTCGTATAACCAATCTACTACTACCGAATGATGAAGCTCTAACAACCTAATCATATTCTATCTATCTCAGGTTGCAGCAGAAATCAAGAAAAGATTATCAGACTTCAATTGATTCAATGAATCATGCATCATTCGATTAAAATCAAGCAGTATAACAATCCCAAGTCATCACAATCAAGATCCCTAACACATGGAACTAGGGTTCTTCATACCCAAGTGAGAGAAAGTTCTACTCCATAGAGAGAGAGAGGGAAACAGAATACAAAGCAGTCATACTCATAAGTCATAACAATGGGAAGAATCTGCTATGAGATGTCAATCTTCACTCCTGGGGATGCAATCTGGGTTTCAATGGTGAGAAATCCACTCCAAATAGCTCCTAGGGTTTGTTCTTCGCACTTTCTCTCTCTAAAACTCTGTTTTTGCTCCAAAAAGTCGATTACCTCTCCTTTGGCTCGAATCTGCCTCAAAACCCCGATTTTGGGCGAATTACGGGCTGAATTACGGTCGTAATCATGGTCTGCCCGTAAATCGCCCAAAACGACCGTAATTGGTCAGGGTCTGCCGGTAATTCTCATCTTGAACCGCCAAATGACCTCCAAATGACCCGAAACTTGCGCCCATACACCTCTTTACTTGCTAGGGCCTGAAATACGACAAAACAACACAACCTAGCGTAAAATAGGCCAAGGAACAACAAATTCGAGCTAAAATGGTCAGGAAACAAGAGTGAAAACATGTGCAAATACGACGCTATCAATAGCTATTCTTGATCCTAATAGAATAAGGGATTGAGATAGAATTTGTCGTTATTGTAAGTTGCCATCAATTTTCTATACACATCAATGGTCTCGATACAATCATAGCTTAATATTTTAGGAGGTGGATAATTAAAAACACTCAAGTCTTATGTTTTTATTATTTTAACTTACACATCACTAATTTAATAGACAAATAAGAAAATCAACTACCCTGTAGTACAAAGTTAATAGATTATGAAGGACGAAGAGTAACTAACAATGAAACGAGTGTTTCTATTGAAAAAAACAATGAAACTTCCAGTAGTAATTCTAGGTACTATTGCATGTAATGTAGGATTAGCAGTTCTAGAACCATCAATGATTGGGGAACCTGCAGATCCATTTGCAACTCCTTTGGAAATATTGCCGGAATGGTATTTCTTTCCCGTATTTCAAATACTTCGTACAGTACCCAATAAGTTATTGGGTGGAGTGTTAAAGTCCGTAATTATTAATAAAGAATAAATTAGGTTCAATATATGAAAAAAATGATAAAGTAAATATGTAATTTAACATTTTTGTATGGGATTTAAAAAAAAAATGCTTCCGAATGCTCTGTCCTCTCTCCTACGGAAATTCGTCGGTTCAGTGCACTTCCTCTTCCTCTCCATTTGGCTTTCGAAGGATGAAGCCATGGAGAGCTCCACTTCGTGGACGAGGTGGGTGAGGCAAACCTGGGAAGAGTGGTGTTCTATGGTGGGAGATCTGTTCAGGCGCAAGTCGGGCCCTAAGATGCGCACAGCGGCGAAGAAACGTTGGCTGGAAGATGCACGGGGTGGCACTTCGTGGACGTGCTGGGTGAGGCATACCTGGAAAGAGTGGTGTTCTATGGTGGAGGACCTGTTCAGGCGCAAGTCGGGCCCCATGATGCGCACAGCGGCGAAGAAACGTTGGCTGGAAGATGCACGGGGTGGACAGTTGGCAATGCTGAGGACTGGGGTTGGACAGTCCGGAAATCCTCGATTGGAGGATGGGGACCTAGTAGGGGGTCCTGAAATTGAAAAGATGATATCATTGGTGAAGAGCGGGCCAAATGGCCGGAGAATACATGGTAATCCGATTGGGGATTGTAGCCGACGTGGCGGCCGGCAGATTGAGTCAGCGCTCGACGATGAGGATAACGGAATCGAGTTGACGTGGAGTGGTTGGCGACGAATCTGGAGTACCCGATATGAGGGGGATTTAAAAGATATTAATAATTTAAATTTTGAAATTAGAAGGAGGATTTTCCTAACTAGGAGTCGGGTAAGCGGTTGGGATGGGGATAACTCCCAAATCCCGTATCCTGCTGTTGAGAGAATAACCCCCTGGATTATCCTCGAGAATCAAATTGGATTTCCTTCGTGGGGTCGGTGCCTTGAGGGGGATTTAAATTTGGTTGATCTCTACAACAACCTGTGCTTTAAAAAAAAGTTCAAAGGGTGGCTGGTAGATTGCTTACACAGAGTTCGGCTATTCCAAGGGCTGCGTGACTCGAGCCTTTTAGTTGGCTGCACTGCGTCTCCGACGGAACACGAAGAGCAGCTGCGGGTCGCAAGAATGGCGGAACAGAACATCTGTCTCGATCAGATCGTGGAGTTCTCCACTGAGGATGTAGCTGTGAGTATGCAGAGGGCGAAAATGAGCCTTCTGGGGAGACTATTCATCGAAAACAGGCCGAGCTTGTCGGTCATACATAAGATTGTTACTGCTGCTTGGGAATGTAGGAAGAAAGTCCAGGTGATGGAGGCGGAGATGGGGCTGCTGCAATTTCTGTTTGATGACGGGGAGGACATGGAATGGGTGCTAAAGTGTGAGAACCACGGATCTAGGCGTGCGAATTAGGGATTAAACGAACTAGGGATTGGGAATTTAGGTGAGGAAGAAGGGGAAATTTGGGATGAGAGAGAGAGCAGAATCGGTTCCCGGGATGGGAGCCGCCGAGTTGAGAGGAAGAGGAAGGGGGTTCGGCTAGGGTGAGTTGAGAGAGAGAGAGTTGGGAACAATTCTGTATTATTGCTTGCCCTTGACCTAACATAACATCGTATTTATATAACCTGACTAATTACTGTTTACTACCCGAATAATTAACCTAACCGAATAAACCCCCATAATTCACCTATCCGACAATATCTGAATAATACGAAATAACAAATAGACTCTCAACAATTATGTTTCTCACAATCCATCCCCCTTGAAACCCACCTTGCCCTCAAGGTGGGCCATGGGTCTTGCCCTCTTCTTTCTTGTCTTCTCCCTCGACGCCCTTCTCCATTTCTTCGCCTTCATCCTCCCAATTCCCGACTAGCAGCATCAAGTGACTCTTGGCGCACTGGTGGCCCACAGTATACCTCTCATCACAGTTGAAACAACGCCCATCCCGGCGTTTCTGGTCCATCTCCGCCTGAGTCAGCCTCACGAACCCTCGCGGTGGTGCTCTGGCCGGAAACCGCGGCCCGGCAGTGGTTCCGGTCGCCGGAGGGCTTGCTGCCGCCGCCGGTGCTCCCGCCCCGGTACCAGCTCCGCCACCTACTCCACCACTGGCCCTCTGTATCCTGCCCACAGAGGTCCTCCAGCTTGCTAGCTCCTCTTCCTTCCGCCCTGCAATTCTAAAAGCCACCCGGAGAGATTCCGGCTCAAAGACCTTGACCGCTGTGGCCAGCTCGGGCCTCAGGCCCGCCATGCACAGCCCCACCAGAGTTTCTTCGGTCATCTCCTTGCATTGGTTTCCCAGCTTCAAGAACTCCGCTCTATACTCCGCTACCGACCCGGTCTGTTTGAGCTTGGCCAGTTGCTCCGGGGCCCAGCCTTCTGCCCTTCCGAACTGGTATCGGAGCTCATCCTGAAACCGAGCCCACGAAATCCTCTCACCTGCTGCTGCGTACGCCCGCTCAGTCCACTCCCACCACTGGAGGGCATCCCCCTCCAAGTAAAAGGACGCCAGATGCGCCTTCCTTTCCTCCCTGATCGGATGGTTCCTAAACCACCTCTCGGCCGCATACAACCACAGCCCCACATCGCCAGTGCCATCAAACTTCGGAAACTCAATAACTGGCGGTTTAGCCCTAAACACCAGCTCATCCTCATAGTCATACAGAGGATTGCTGTACCCGTACCTGTTACCGCCGGTCGGCTGCATCGAATGGCCCGACCCAGGATGTCGGTATTCTGGCCCCGCGTTCTGCATCTCTGAGTAGGCCCAGTCGGCCATCTCATGCTGGTACATCTCTCCTCCCCCAGCCTTCGTTCCGGATCATTGACCCTCCTCCAACCGGCGTCCCGGTCGTGCCCCCTCGGCCCGTGGAGTGCCCCATGGCGGATAACCAGCCTCGGGGCCCTGTCTGTCGCGCCTGGGCCCTCCTCCTGGACCGTACCTGCTGCTGCCCATCGGCCCGCGCCCCGGTTCCACCCGGTTCGACCCGGTCCGGCCGGGTTCGGCCCCGCCCGACTCGGTCCGACCGATCCCGGTCCGACCGTGACTGGTTTGGCCGGCCAACAACCCAACCGGTCTACCGGTTTGGTCCAGCATGGGCTCAATCACCGGGTTCTGGTTGGGCCCATTGGGCCCAGGGCCCATCTCCCACTCCTCCTGATCCGCGAAGCTCATCTCCTCATAGTCCGGGCCCAATTCCTCGAACTCCACCACCTTCTTCTGCCTGCGGGCCTCCGCAATGTCGTGGGCCGTCGGAGCCGGAAGCAGACCTGGCCCACTGAAGACTGGTGCGGAACCAGATTCCCGGCCCGCTCCTCCTGCTGGTCTGGGCCCGCCGGGATAGCCGCCCCCACGACCCCCTGGGCCTGGTGGCCGCGCCGCCCTTGAGCCCCCACCGCCGACCACCTCGCCCGGCGCCGCGGCCTCCCTGCCGCCGAGAGCGCCTGGCGGCTTAGCCGCCGCCGCCGCAGCCAGCGCGCCGCCCGCCTCCCCTTCCACGGCGCTGCCCGCGCCTCCAGCTGCGCCGCCTCCAGCCGCGCCTCCAGCCGCGCCGCCTCCCGCGCCCACCGTCGCTCCTGGCGGGGCGGCCTCCTTCCTCTCGGCGGCCATTGATACCGCCGCCGCCATCTTCTCCACAGCCTCAGGTCGGTTTCCCGGGTTTGGCTCCTTGCCCTGAAACACACCGATCAAAACCTGAGTCATGGTGTCCGCCAGAGCCTTGCACAGCTTCTCAGTCATGGCCGTGCCCATCTCCTCAATCGAGGAAGTAATTCGCTCTCCCAGCGCCTCTATGGCCTCGGTCGAATTCCGGGAAGCAGCAGCGGCTCGCTCTGTGGACGCCGTTAAGCTCTCCAACGTGGTTACGACCGCGTCGTACTTGTTATGCGTGATGTCCTTCACAGTCACGATCTCCTGGCCCTGTCTCTGATGTTGCGGTTTGTCCGTGTTCGACATCTTGCTTCTTGCAGCTCAGTAATCAGCACGCCAGCCAGGCTCTGATACCAATTGTGAGAACCACGAATCTAGGCGTGCGAATTAGGGATTAAACGAACTAGGGATTGGGAATTTAGGTGAGGAAGAAGGGGAAATTTGGGATGAGAGAGAGAGCAGAATCGGTTCCCGGGATGGGAGCCGCCGAGTTGAGAGGAAGAGGAAGGGGGTTCGGCTAGGGTGAGTTGAGAGAGAGAGAGTTGGGAACAATTCTGTATTATTGCTTGCCCTTGACCTAACATAACATCATATTTATATAACCTGACTAATTACTGTTTACTACCCGAATAATTAACCTAACCGAATAAACCCCCATAATTCACCTATCCGACAATATCTGAATAATACGAAATAACAAATAGACTCTCAACAATTATGTTTCTCACATAAAGCGCACGCCGTGGCCTGTCAAGGACCGGGTCCTGCATCTCCAACGATGGGCACCGGTATCGGAGGAGGTCTTTGACTCCCTTGGGTTTGTTCCTTTCTCGGTTCAGATGTGGGGGATCCCCTCCCACTGCCGCACGATCGCGTTCGGGCGAAGGGTGGCGGAAACAAAGTTGGGAGAGGTCCTCGATGTCGGTCTGTTTGGAATCAAAGGGGAGGCAGATCAGTTTGTCAAAGCCCGAGTTAAAATCAATGTGCTCCAGCCGCTGCGATCGCAAATTTGGGCTAGTAATGAGATAGCTGGGAAATTCTGGGTGACCTTTGCCTACGAATTCCTTCCCCTGTTCTGCTTCCATTGCGGGCGGTTGGGGCACATGGAACGGAACTGCGTGTTCCCAGAACCCAGTGGTGAAGAGAGATACAGCCAGGAGATGGTGACTACGGAGGTGGGCTATCGATTGAAGGAGGATACACTCAAACCTGCCCTGTTCAACTCCAACCCTATATCGCAGTCTGTGTGGGTGAACCCCAAGACGAAAGGGAAGGTAGCGGTGGGGCCGGTGACGGATCGGGGTGAAAAGCGGAAAATGGAGGCCAAGAGTTTAGGGCAGGAGGTGGTTCTGGCCCTGCCGGCTGGGGAGGACCGAGGCGGGAAAGGGGTGCAGGGGTCTGGGCA